GAAATATTATAAATTGAGTCTTCCTATGATTAAATACGCTCCTATATTCAAACTGGGACTGTTTATTAAATGTTTAAAGCTAAATTAGCAATGGGACTATTGCCATTCTAATATGAAACATTTAGACTTGTGTGAGAATTTGTAAAACTGCTCTAAATTTTGCAAGCACTTAGGCATACACCTATCCATTCACTTAACATGTTCATATCTACTACACAACTAAGTACAGCAGCCAGTCACTGTTCTAGGGACTGGGGAACATAGTGACAAATTTAAAAAAGTCAGTAATCTCACTGAATTGAAACTACAGAAGAGGCCAAGGAAGATACCTCTAAGAATGTGATATTTCTGCTGGAGACCTAAGTGAAGGAAACAGAGCCATACACATATCTAAGGGAAGAACAAGAGAAAGAACATTAGAAATTAAAGGAACAAATATTACAGGGCTTGAAGAGGAAAAAAAGATTACTGGTATGTCTGAGGAACACCAAGAAGGCCAACACTGCCAGAGGGGAAAAAGTAATCAGAAACATGGAAAGAGAGATGGACAGATATACTGTTTACATCTTCGAAGACCCTGCTAAGGAGCTTGGGTTTCATTTCAGTGTAAGGAGAAACCACAGATTTCTGACAAGATTGCTCTGGCAGTGAAAAAAAAAAAAAAAAAGAGAACACAGCAACAGAATGGAAGAGGCAGATCAGTTAGGAGGCCCCTGCAGTAGTGCAGAAGACAGAGTGGAAAAAGGAGGTGATCTTTTCAGGTACCTAGAGTCATCAGATTACAGATGCTCTTTTAAGCTGTGGGATTGAGGTAGATAATCACAGAGGGAGTGAACACAGTAGAATGAAGGCTGAGGGCTAAGCCCTGAAACACTCTTAATGTTTAACAGTTTGAAAAAGGGAAAAGCATCTTCATCTGAAGTATATTTTGTATTCAGGCTTTTATGGTTCCTTTTTCAAAGAATTAGAGAAATCCAGGTTGTTTGAAATTTGTTTCTAAGCAGTCATATCTTTGACCACATAGAAAATAAAAATGAGAAATAGGATAGAAATTTTAAAAACTATATTTTAAATGTGGCAGAGCCTCTCAATAAACTAAGGTCCATTCAACTTAAAGCCAATAATTTCTAAAAATAAATTATTTCACTAAAATTGGAGTCCTTAATAAATAAAGGCCTCTAAATATAGAACCTGACATGTTAGATAGTTATACAAGTAGTTTTATTTTAACATAATCTGACGTACATTTGTTTAATTACCTGACATTGCTGACATGTTAGATACCTATAGTCGGGAAGTATAAAAACAACTAGAAAGTGAAACTGATTTACGGGAAGAACTGAGAAAACAATGAAAATATCTATGAGTAGGAAATTAACATTCTGAATCATTTCTGCTCATCTGTTTCATCTAAAGTAAGGTAGGTAATTAATGTCAAAATTAAAGAAAGTTTTGTGTTTTTTTAAAAACAGTAGTCTCATATGTATTTCTAAAACTAATTATGTATCTCTTTTCAAAGGATGTCAATTTCAATCTTTTTAGATTGTAACCATTTCAGATATTTTTGACTGTTAAGTAAGAGGACAGGGATACTGAAGCAGAAGGATGTGAGTTCAAATTCAAATACTAACAGTTGCTTATTTGGGGGCCACTACAACACATCAAGAGCCTGAGTGTCTTCGTTTGAAAGATAGGAATAATGCCCATTCCACAGCATTGGGAGCAGGATAAAAAGAGATTAAGTCACACAGAGACCCCTCCACAACAAACTTTTAGAGCTTTATAAATGTTAATCATTTTCTTTCATTCTTTCCTCCCTTTGCTTCAGTGTTTCAGCATCTATAGCATTTACATGCTTATTTAAAAAGTCACTTTTTAAATTCTTTTCAAAGAAAAGGTGTCTTAAAGTGGTAATGATATCACAGTCCTACCAATTCTGATCAATGACTTTTGAAACATTTTACTCTAACGAACTATACAGACCCTAAGGAAGGGTGTTTCATTCCTTTGTTAGCAGATGAGTAATACTTATAATATGGAAAACAGATTATAAGACATTAAAAGGCATTAAAAGCATAGTTTGTATCAAAAATACCACAGCACTGCTTTTTGCCCTTTTGGCAAAAATCAAAGGTACAAATATCACAGGGTTCAATCCTGAGGGTGGAGTGGGGAGGGGTAGACAGAGAAACTGACAGGAACTATTTACATTTTTGCTTTAGGACCAAGGACTGAATAATCACAACACTGCAGATTAAGGTTTACATTTTTCCAACTATTATTTTCTTATTAACTTTCTTATTAACTTCTATGTGTGTTAATATTAATATGATAAATATTAATATATTTGCACAGGTTTCATAAATAAAATCCCAGTTTTAAGTAAATTTATACTACATCTGTTTAACTGTATTATTTTAAGTTTGCAAATTACTTTTTTCTGTAGCATCAGCTTTATAGATATATTACTTTGAGTATATTTATGTAGGTTCTGTTAAAGCCAAGCAAGAAGCTCTCAGTGTCTGAGGTGTACCTAAAACAGTAACATCAGTACTTCTGGCATATTACACTTTTGCCATCTCAGCCACTGCTGGAGGGACTTGACTATTTTAATAGATCTTAAAGAGATAAGAGTTGAGGAAAAAACTGTGCATTTGGCTTTCCTCTGCAATGTTTCAGGTCACTTGCTCATTTCCAACTTCTACAGAATTTTTGACGCTGTAAAGCTTGAGTGAGCTAAGAATATTATCCCACAATTAAGGAAACAGCTCATCTAATAACCAGTTATCTAAATGACAAGCTTCTGTTTCTTCCTTATACAATTCAGTCACTCTGATCCTTTTCCAGAATTCTCTCTCTCTTACATTTACTATTATAAATACAGAGCCTACACTGCCCAGACAGGCTGGGCTACTCTCTGGTAACAGAAAGTAAAAGGTACACTATTGACTGCTGGCATGTACAAAATTGTTGGTTTCTGAAAGAACATTTTAATTTTTCTTCAAATAAGTAATATGTCTAAATTATTCTGCCTCCTTCACTGATGCAATCAATTCAGATTAAAGAAAATATGAATACTCCATAATATTATCTGTTTTTAAAAGTTCTTTACTTATTAATAGAGTGTCATCCTGAAATAGAATTGAAAAAGACTTGAAATAATTTATGTGGTCTTCAGAACATTTAAAAGAAGCTAAAAAAAATATCTAAATTTCTTTTTGAAATATCTCTCCTTTAAATTTTGAAGATTAGGTGTATTCTTCTTTTAAAAGAAATTTGTTGTTTTTAGATACACAGGATAATAGTATAATTTTAACATATTATACAAAAATGGAGTATAACTTGTTCTAATTAGGATCCCATTGTTGTGGTTGTACATGATGTGGAAATACACTGGTCATGTATTCATACAAGAGTACAGGAAAGTTAAGTCCAATTCATTCTACCGTCTTTCCTATTCTCATCCCCACTCCCTCCTTCCCCTTTGTCTAATCCAATGAACTTCTATACTTCCCCTCTCTAGCCTCCCTTGTTACGGGTTAGCATCCACATATCACAGAGAACATTCATTCAGCCTGTGGTTTTTTAGGACTGGATTATTTCGCTTAGCATGATATTCTCCAGTTAAGTTTATACTGTTAATCAGAAGCTTTTAATTCTACTTGAGAGACTTCTAATATGCATTTTCCTCCTTTCATTTCTGTAATTCTAATATTCATTAGAATCTCCAGCAAAGGAAGGGGTAATGAGAAGAAAAAGAAGGGAAAGAGCAAATTCATTTTCTTTAATAGTTACCAGACAACTAAGTTAAAATTTTATTTGTGGGGGTTAAGAAAAAAGTGAAGTGACAGCAAATGATTAAAATGATATAATGGGGCTAGGAACTCTTTCTGTTTCATTCACCCACATTAGCAATCTTCTCCAGGCTTGACTGCAAAAATGCTATATGCTCAGAGGCCTTTTATAGTCGACTCCTTTTCCCACCAAATTCTTTCATCCATTCTACACAAACGTAGGAACTGAGTGGGCTAAGTAGTTCAGGTGCTGATACATAGCAACACAAAAAACAAAATCCATGTCCTCAAGGACCCTATGTCCCAGTAGGCAGAGAAAAATATTTTTAAAAAGCACAAATACACAGCATATTAGATAGTAAGTGCTATGAATGAAAATAAATAGGGGAAGAAGGATATGGAGAATCCAAGGCAGGAGAGGATTTACATTTTAAACTGAGTGGTTATTTGTCTTCATGATCTCATTAAAATTTATTTAAAATTTAAAAATCTACATATTTCTATTTTTCTAAGCATTAAATTGTATGCAGGGATTTATATTAAGAACAAATTTTTGCTACAGAACTAGTAAATAATCTCAAAAATTAAGATTTTTAATGACAGAATGAATGGCCATTCTTTAACTCTTTTTAAAAGATTGCCTCATATTATTTTCCAAAGCTTTTGAAGGTAGATGTATCACCATCATGTTGATTGGTGATACAATAAATTCTACAACAAAACTTGATACTTATATCAAAATGACTACCAAGTAATAATAAAGCAGCATTAAAATCTTGAAATTTTTTTTTCATATGTCAATTTGCTGGTTTGTGTAGGTAGAACAAATAGCTCTTCAATATATGTATGACTGATGTCCACCTATATTCCAACAGTGGCTGAAAATCATTCATGAATGGTATTGTTCTGCTGTAATGACCAATTATCTCCCAAGCAAGCTGGGCTACTCTCTGGTAACATGAGACCCCTGAGAACCCAGAATGCTGGCTAGGTTCCAGACAGAGGCAGCCTTGTCAAATAAGCTTCTATTGGTTACAACCACAACCTAACTACCTACTTCAGTCACCGTCATCCTAAAATATAAAAGCATCTAAGAAATATCAAGCATTTTCAAATTACTCACATCATGACTCTTCCCAGGATTTTATCAGACCAAATATTTTTAAAAGTAAGAATACTAAAAATTTTGCTCCCAAAAAAGAATACCTCCATGGTGATGTGACAGGCTCCCTCCATTTGCAAGGATCTCTTCTCTAGCAGCTGCCTGTATTTGGAAACAAAACAACCAATCACTGCTACTTAGATTTCACTTTGGAATTAAAGAGTAATACCCAACTCCCAAAGGAGATGCATACTTCTTGTGTTAAATAATAAAACAGAAGCCTAATTTTCCTACCTCATAGGTTAATTTCATTTAAAAAGCAATTAAACTTTGTGGGCTAGCTTTATAATTTTTTTCCTAGTGAACAGTCATATTATCTACAAAGATTACTTTGAGATTCTAGAAGGGTAAAGGCAAAATAACCACCTCAACACTAAATTGTGAACAGGTAAAAAGTTATAAATGTGGAGTCAGATTTTACTTTGAGTTAGTAGCTTATGCCAACAAGCAGCAGTAACTAATATCAAATGACTACTACTGTATGTCCAGAAAGGTACCAAGCAATTTGCCTATAGTATCTCTTTTATTTTCACTGTAGTCTTAAGGAATGATTACAATTACTCTCATTTCACAGATACAAAAATCAGGCTTAACTAGGTTAAATTACTTATCTAATACCACACAATGAGCACCAGAGGGGAAAAAAAAATCACCCACAAAGCTACTGGGGATCAACCATAAAAATCCTTCGGGGGCTGGGGCTGTGGTAAAGTGCTTGCCTAGCATGTCTGAGGCACTGGGTTCAACTCTCAGCACCACATATAAATAAATAAATAAAATAAAGGCCTATCAACAACTAAAAAAATATTTAAAAAAATCTTTATGGAGAACACTTCTTAGGTCAATGACATGAGACAAATTACCTATCAGTTCTATGGGTATAAAAGTGTGGAAGGAAAAACCTTGCTTTTTTTTTTTTTCCTTGTAACCCTGGTGACACACTACATACTGATTAACTTCCTTATGGAGCCCTCAGATTAAAAAGATAAACACTTATAACAAAATACAGACTGAAGTGCAGAGTAAAAAGGGTAACAGAAAGTGGAATTACCTTTGATTCTTAATGATTCATGAATATGTAATAGTCATGAGGTATCTACAGTGCCCTGCATGTCTAAGACTTTCTCAAGTGCACATAAACCATGAAGAGGCAGGTCAGGGTAGAAGAGGTCCCTGGTAGTACAGACAAATGGACCACATCCCATTGCAATGTAATCTAGAAGAACCTCATTATTTAGGATTTAGGGTTCTCCAAAAGAATCACAATTATGCTAGTCCTGCTCTTAGAACTTATCATTTCTAACAAATTACTTCAATAAGGCAATAATTCCTTGAGATCAGTAGCACTTAGCAAATGGCAGCTTAAACTAGGAAAAGGAAACAACTTCACTTGTGCTACTGCAGGGAAAGAACCTTTGGTAGCCAGCGAATACCACCAAAGCACTGAAAAGCTAAGGGGCTAATATACTCAAATTTTTAAGGGCTGATAAATATATTCATTATTTTGATTATGGTGACAGTACTACATACTTACATCAAAACATCAGGTTGTATACTTTAAAATGTACAGTATATTGTTATTTTAATTATACTTCAAAAAGCTGTTAACAAAAAAAAAAAAAAAAAGGAAGAGGGGTAGGGAAGAGCCCACCAAATCATGTCTATAGTTCAGATCTAAACACGTGTACATGTGCGGCACTACTGAAATTATGGACTGGCACACAATGGAATTCAAATACTAGGGCACCTGAGTTTTTAAGAAAACTGTTTCCTACAGAGTCCTCCATAGTTCCATTTGTTTCTTTAACTCTACACATACTTGTTTTGAGAAATACTGGCCATCAACAAAAGGTTTTATAAAAACTAGCAGCTTTGGGCTGGAGTTGTGGCTCAGCGGTAGAGTGCTCGCCTAGCACATGTCAGGCCCTGGGTTTAATCCTCAGCACCACATAAAAATAAATAAATAAAATAAAGGTACTGTGTCCAACTACAACTAAAAAAAATAATAATTAAAAAAACCTAGCAGCTTAACTATTGTGAATTGTGCTGCTATAAACATTGATGTGGCTATGTCCCTGGAGTAATGCTGTTTTTAAGTCCTTTGGGTATATACCTGAGGAGCTGGGTCAAATGGTGGTTCCATTCCCACTTTTCCAAGGATTCTCCAAATTGGCTGCACCAATTTGCAGTCCTACCAGCAATGTATGAGTGTGCCTTTTCCCCCACATCCTCACCAACACTTATTGTTGTTTGTATTCTTAATAGCTACCATTCTAACTGGAGTGAGACAGTTTTGATTTGCATTCCTCTAATTGCTAAAGATGTTGAACATTTTTCATATATTTGTTGATTGATTATATATCTTCTTCTGAGAAGTGTCTATTCAGTTCCTTGGCCCATTTATTGATTGGGTTATTTGTTTTTCTGGTGTTAAGATTTTTGAGTTCTTTATATATTCTAGAGATTAGTGCTCTATTTGACATGTGTGTGCAGATGAGTGGATAAAGAAAATTTGGTATATATACACAATTGAATATTATTCAGCATTAAAAGAGAATAAAATCATGGCATTTGCAGGTAAATGGATGGAGCTGGAGAATATACTGGAATATACTGCTAAGTGAAGTTCGCCAATCCCAAAAAACCAAATGCCGAATGATTTCTCTGATTTAAGGATGCTGATCCATAATATGCTGCCAGGGGTGGGGGGTGGAAGGATTAAATGAACTCTAGATAGGGCAAAGGGGTAAAGGGAAGGGAGGAAAAGGGAGGGGGTATAAGAGTAGGAAAGACAGTGGAATGCGATGGTCATCATTACCCTATGTACATGTATGAAAACAAGAAGGATATGACTCTACTTTGTATACAACTGTAAATATGAAAACTTGTGCTCTATATGTGTAATATGAATTGTAATGCACCCTGTTGTCATATATAACAAATTAAAATTTTTTAAAAACTAGCAGCTTAAGGACACATAAGAAATATATAATAGCTTACATACATTTTCAATACACAAAGAATTTATAAGCCTAGAATAATATTAGGACAACACAGACCAGAGCATGACCTCAATAGCAATTCCCACATAGAGATGGGTAGGCTGCCAAAGGGATGGCAAAGATTCTCGTTGTTATTTAATTTCATCAACTATCATGTACTATAAATAACAATCAAATAATCTCAGGTGATAGCTATACAGAACAATAATTTTAGACTTAGAATTTAGTACACAAACCAGTGCAACAAATACATTTTTCATTTCTACAGGCTAGCAGCCAGGCATACCAGCTGTAATTAAACAGAGTCAAACTAAAATTCACAAACTGATACTAAAATTTATTCAAATTACTAAAAGAATGTGAAAGCTATTGTGTATATGCATGTATACAAAATTACCTCAGTTTGTTCAAACACGGTCAGTGGGTCACTAATTCCCCTGTAGTTAAAGGCAAAATAGAAGTAGATACATGCACCTGCATCATAAGTCTGCGTTACCCTAAAAGAACAAACAGACAAAAATCCCCACAAGGGTTTTAAGTTAAGTGAGAACAGATTTAACATCTAGACAAAAATCAACTGAATAATCATTAAGCTATAACATTATTTTCATGTGGCTTCCTACTTCATGGAAGGAATGGAGATTGGCTTTCTTTAGAGCTATTGCTAAAATAGGTAAAGTGAGAATATGGTGAGAAAAAGGAGGATTGTACTTCCATTTAAGTGCCAATTTAGTCAATATTTTAAGTACACTCTTGACTGTGCCAAGTTACTAAAACTTGAATGACAAAAATTTTTTTATACATTTCATTAGCATTTTATGACAAAATGCTATTTTGTTATCTAGAAGTAATGGGAGATATAAGTAGTATATGTGAAAATATATTTAAAATTTAGTCAGGTAAATACCAGTATTAGTTGTTTTAAAATGCAAATTCAAAGTAACATTTAACAAAAGCATGACAATTAAAATTACACCTATCTTGATAATAAAAGTAATATTTTTCTCTTTATTTGACTAATATTTATGCATAGTCCTTTTGTGACTGGTAAAAGACAATATTCAAGGGACATCCATATTACAAATAGTATAGCTCCATTATTTTTCAAAAGCCAAGTATTCTTGCCAAAAGACCAACAATGAGATCTATACACATAGATATTACATTTTTGTATGGGCACAGTAAAGACACATGACGTAAATGTCTCCTCCTTAAGAAAGTTGGTATTAGACTAGAAACAAGAAATTTGGTTCTGTTCATTGGCCCCATCACTGAAAAGCAAAAACATGAAATGCATGAAATACATATGGGCATGCAAACACTGACTAAAATCAATTTTCATTATTTTATAAATCTATATTGGTAAAATATAGGCAAGTTATAACCTCTTCAAAGTATATTAAGTTGACAGCAATACTATGAACTTGTCATTTGTTTTGATTTTCTAGTTCAAGAGACTTAAGGATTCTAGGCAGAAAAAATTAAAGCACTGAAATTGTTACTATTAAAGAGGGTAGGGGGAGCTATTTAGTCCTCGCTATAATTTTAAAAGTAAATGAAATAAATATCAACGACAATTTTTTTTTCTTCACAGTAAGTCAAGTGAACTAAAAGAAACTCTTATAAGCTTTCTATAGTCGATACAAGATACAGTCTCAAAACACAAAGAAACAAATACGAGTAAAGAATGCTGATATTTCTGAGTTCAGTTCAATAGGCTATCTGATGATGCACTAGAGACCTTGAGAGAGACAGAGAGAATATAAAGACAGACAACATCAATCACTTTTTGCAGCCTAAAAAGCACTCTAGACTCTACAAAATACAGATGGGAAATGAACAGGTTATCACATTGAGTGATGATACAAAGAATAAGAAAACCTGTGTGGGTCAAATTAGGAAATGTGCCTAGTAATAAAAGGTATGCCTAAATGAAAACTGAAAGAAAATGGAAGATTTGGTTCTATGTAAGAAAAATGCCATATTACTAACATACAGGATAAGTCAATCAGGAGATAACAGAGGAGAATAAGAAAGATAACTAGGAGCAGAGGAAGCAGATAAGCAATAAGATGGAGGAAACATAGTAGGGACAAAATGAAAATAACCACAATTCTGACAAGGAATATGAAGACGAAATCAAGACCAAAAGACCAATGGTGAGCAAAGGCTATTATTAATACTGCTGGGACAGCATGTGGAGATGATCTTCACTTTGCACCAGTTCTACAGCACCCACACCCTTTGTGGCACAAAGACTTGCTTTTTTCTCCCTCACTTCTTCACTTATGCCACTCACCCTGCCTCAATTACTGTCCTTCCTAAGTATGAGCTCCCTTTTTCCTTCTCTTCAAAAACTACCATCCATATCAAAAGAACACAGAAGCCAATTTAAAGTAGTTTCTAACTGCCTAATCTGGGAAAACTTAAACAAGATGAATAGTGATAATCATGGATCTAACTCAGAGAAGAAAACATATATGCATTCATACCAATCAAAGGGGGATTCTTCTAGTGAATTCCAACTGATATATGTAAAAGAAATGATGAAAATAAAAGTTGCCATTTGAAAATTTCACAATAACAACTGTTATTATCTGAAATTATTAATGGGAGACTGATGATTTAGGAGACTGTATGAGAAACAAGATGTTTACATAGTCTCAAAATTTCTTCCCAAAGGGTATTTATTAAGTGAAATAGGAAAAAATAGTAATGTTGGAGCTGTAAAATCAGGCAGGCACCATTTTAACCAAGTAATCAAAGTTAATATCATCAATAATATGACATATCAATGTCATGTTCCTCTTGATATGATGTTCCAAGGTTATTCTGTAGCCTTTTTGCCAAAATGTATAAATTGAATTCAATCACAAGGGAACATGAAAAAACAACAACAACAAAAAAAAAAAAAAAAACGAAACTAAATGTCATTTTACAAAACAACTGGCCAGTGAATGTAAAAAAGTGTACAGGTCACGTAAGATAAAGAAAGTGAGGAACTGTTCCAGATTAAAGATGATTGCAAAGACATGAAATCTAAAAACACTATGTAATCTTAAGATTGGATACTGAACCAAAAGAAAAAAAATAGTGGGAGAAAGGGTAAATAGAAGTGTCTAGATTAGTTAATAGTATTTTAACAACACTTTTTGTTTTAGCAATCATCCTGTAATGATGTGTGATATTATATTTGGAGAAGATGAGTGAAGGGTATATAGAAACTATTAGTTTTGCAACTTTTGGGGGAAAGTCTGGATTATCCCCTCCCCCACCACTCACCAAAACTAAAAGTTCAAAAGCAGTGTAAATGTTTCTCTAATTGGCCTAAATAACAAAAAACAAACAAATAAGCAAACAACAACATCAAAAAACAAACCCATCTCCTTCTGGTGGTTTCCCCCACCAATCTAATTATACTACTGTTAAGAGAGCCAAAACACACTAGATAGAACTTGGTGATCAGTTATAAGTCCTCCAAACTTCCTCAAAGTTAACATAAACATGAGAACTTAAAGCTCAGAAAAAATACCAAATGAGATCAGACTAGATGAACTATAGCATCTTCACTAAACTTATATTAACAATTAGAAGGACTTGGAAAACAAACTGAATTGATCATATTAAATACAGTGAAATGACATGAGCTTAAAATGGTGCTTAAGAACCTACATGTGTTCATGTTGTATATATGTACATAAAAGATATCAAGAATATTAATTAAATATGTTCGATATATTATAATCTGGGCTTTCAAAATGCAACTAGGAAACATTTAAAAGGGAGCTCAGACAATCCTAGTCAAGTCTCCAAATTCAATCTATGGAGGTTTCCACGAAGAATTTAATTTAACAGAAGAAACAAATACAGAGGAAATACTTTCTTTACTACACAATACAAACAGAATCTGATCTAAAATTTTAATAGCATTTTAGGCCAAATGTTAGGTGCATCAGAACAGAAGAAATGAACTGTTTAACAATGCTACTGTCAATTTGCTAGCTGTGTTTTTCTTCTAGTGTTAATTCACACTCATAAAAAGATCCCTTGAACATTTAAAGTTCCAGATTTACAAAGTTTAAGAAAAACTGGAGAATTATTTTAACTATGAGTGCACTATCATTAGACATAAGCAAATTCAAATAAAATTTGACAGGTAAATGAATGAGTTTACAGCACTTGGTAAAATATAACTCATAAGCGATTCATTAATAACAACACTAGAACAGGTAACTAAAAATTAATTGAGCATTGCCATCTTCCAGCAAATCTAGGATGTGGATGACCAGTTCAGTTTTCATAGATGAGCAGATTACTAAAGCCAACATAAAACATAATGGGCTTAAATGATCAGTGATTCAGACAAAGATAAAGTTTAATAATAAAAACACCTTTTGGAAAACCTCCATTTGGGTCCACTTCAGAAAGTAACTCAGATCTAACTCCTTTTAAAACAGATTAATTCCAGCACTAAAGACACTTAACACTAACCTCTTTCAAAATTATCTGCACAAATAAAAATGTGGCTGTCAAAGTCACTTCATTATTTTTTCATTTCTAAAACTTTTTTGTGCTTTATTCTGTCTGGGGTACTTTCCTTATGTTAGATTCACTAACAATTCCTTCCCATATAACTTCCTTAAAAGAGTTAGGGTTAAAATATCTATTCCAATGTACAAATTACATTTTAATGGTTAAAAATTAAATAATCCAATAAATGAACCCTTATAACCTGAATTATTTTTCTTGGGTTCTTTGATTTTAGAGTTATTAATTATTTAAAAATAATCTTGGAATAGCTTTTTTAAAAAACTGGTTTGAAAAATGCATCTCATACATTCAATAGAGAATAATCTCCTTGGTCACTTTTAAGCAGATCAAATAAAATTAAATAAAAATCAAAACTCTAGTTAAATGTTCATTTAAAAAAGTAAAAGCCATAAGAATGATTCAAAATTCTGATTTACCAAAGCTATTTAAATAATTATACTTTGGCCATTCTAAACTGGTTTCATAAAGTAATCACAAAAACTGAGCACATTTCTTTTATAAGAAAATCATTATTACAAAAATAGCTATTTAATAAACACAACTCTTAAGGTTTAGATCTGGAATGTCCCCCTAAGTTTCATGTGTTCAGAGGTGAAGCTCTGAGGAAATGATTGGATCATGAGGGCTTAGAGGATCAATCCAATAATGGCTGAATAAACTATTGGAAAGTGGGATCTAGTTGGAGGAGGTAAGGCACTAGGGGCATGCCCTGGAAGGGTTTATCTTCTCCTTGTCCACCCCCTGACTTTCAGTTGCTATGAGATGAATTGCTTTCCTTCACCATGTCCTTCTGCCATACTTCTGCCTTGGAGCTGGCTAACCATGAACTCAAAGTTCTAAAACCTAGAGCCAAAATAATTTTTTCCTTTTCTACATTGTTCCTGTCATTTTGATCACAGCCACAAATAGCCAACTAACAATAACATATAGCCAATTCAGTCTGATTATATTAATTCTAATGTCCATAAGACATAATAAAGATGCGTAGCCTTACAAATACTTTCTGAAAAATGAAGATTTAACTGTTAATTATGGAGTACACTCCAAGGCAGAATATTTTGCTTTCCATTCATTTTCAATTCAGTAAATATTTATCACAATGAAGGAAGAGGAGGTTCTCAAAAGACACTGAATAGGGAGTTGGGACAAAAGGAGAAAGAGAAGAGGGCAAAAATATATAAATTTCCACTTGACCAAAAAAAGGAATAATACTTTCTCAACTACACAATAATTAATTCTAGTTTATTATTCTCTGACTTAAAATACTTCAAACTTTAATGATAATAAGTCGACTTTGGATATTTGTTTCAGGATTATAATAAAAGAGGCCTAATAGATTGTCAAGAGCAGAAACAAGGATCAATTTGGGATAATATGAGTAAATACAACTTTTTTTCCTTTAGATTTTAAGGAATTTAAAGGTTCATTTTTAAAGACACCAATTTTTTAATTAAAAAATTAAAAATGTTACATGTATATTCTTTTTTAAAATTTCTTTTTAGTTATAGATGGACACAATATCTTTATTTGGTTTATTCATTTTTATGTGGTGCTGAGGATTGAACCCAGTGCCTCACATGTGCGAGACAAGTGCTCTACCACTCAGCCACAACCTCAGCCCCTACATGTATATTCTTTTTTTTTTTTTTAATTTTTTTATTGTTGGTTGTTCAAAATATTACAAATTTCTTGATATATCATATTTCACACTTTGATTCAAGTGGGTAAGAACTCCCATTTTTACCCCATATACAGATTGCAGAATCACATCAGTTACACATCCATTGATTTACATATCTACATGTATATTCTTACACCTTTATTTAGAAGGTTTTCTCCAAAGTCAATGACTAAACCAACATTAGCTTTATGAAGTTATAGTTTTTTGTTATATAGAACAAGGCCTCTACTTTTCCTTCCTTTGGATATCTCAAATGCCCAGTCAATAATTGTTAAAATCTACATTTAAAAAATTTTATTTTCTCTATTCCAAGTATACTTGTTCTAAAGCATGTTAGAATACTGACTTGACTTGGTACTTTCTGTAATGCTCATCAAACCCTGAAAGATTCCCACACACAGAAACAGAAAAGACCATTTGCAATGAGAACTTTCTCATTGAAATGAGCAGTTTCCTCAGATCTCGTGTTAGAATTCTACTTTCCTACTCTTCAGAAGCACACATTTAGCAAATGCTTTAAGGATACTTCTCCCAATGGAAGTAATTTTACAATACCAACTTTTCAAAGTAGGCAGGAAGTTGGCAAGGTGGGTTGGCAGGCCCAGGTTCCTGGGCTGGAATAGGCCTTGATCTGTTTCCCAGGCTGAAATTAAGTAATTCAAATCAGAGAAATAAGCTTCATTAATAGAAATGCAGATACCCTTTGACTTATGATGGTGTTTTGTCCAAATACAATCATTGTAAAAATACTGTAAGCTGAAAATGCATCATATATACTTAATTTACCAAACACAGGGTTAGCATAATCTACCTTAAATATGCTCAGAACACTTAAATTAGCTTATAATTGGGAAAAATCAACAGTCTATTTTATAATAAATTGTTTAATATCTCATGTAACTTACTGAATACTCAACTGAAAGTGAAAAAAACAGTGCTTGTGCACTATTGTGAATCTGAAAAATTTTAAGTCAACCCATCATAATTCAGGGACAGTCTTGCATATAGAAAGAAATGTTATGCTGAAGCACACTTGTTTTTGAAGTCCAGTGTCAGGCGCACTTAATAACAGAGACACATTATTTCCAAAATTATCTACTTTTTTTTTTTACTTTGTAAAAGTTTGTTTCTAAAATATTAGATGTGTTCTTGAAAGCCTCCCCCAACACATACAGAATAAAATTGAGGCAGTTATACAATACAGAATGCTAGATCATTACTGTTAGATTCAAATTAATTCTATAACTTTTTATAGAGAAGTCAATTGTTTGACTTGATACATTTCATCTTCTGTGTTTGCACAGAAAATTAATATCAAAAGACTGAATACAAAATGTCCTTACTCAAGGAATCTTCCTTTTTTGGGCTGGTGCTATGTAACAAAGATCATCAGCTAAACACACTGTCCAATATGGAAAATACTAGCCACACATAATGTTATACATTTTTTTAAATAAATTAAATAAAAACTTTAAATTTAACTCTACAATAACACTAGCCACATTTCAATCTCTCAGTAGTCACATGTGGCTTGTGGCTACCATACAGGACAGTGTTGATACAGAATACTTCCATTATCAAAGAAAGATCTGTTGGAAAGAACCAAGTTAATCATCATTTGAGTCATCTGTGCCTCTTAGTCCTCTATCTCTTTCCTATCTCCTTAATCAGCAACTAAAATGGTTAAAGTGGTTTTTTTTTCCCCTCTGATGAAGAAAGAGCTATACTGACTATATATCTAATTTATAGCTGCTTGGCTACATATGTAATTTATACTTGCTGTGAATAAAGGAGTAGTCCTCTTTCCAAGAGCTTAGATCCTTGACTCTTCCCTGCCATGTTATCCAGATAGGACAAAAGGCTTATGGAAGGCTGGCCTATTCCTAAAGAGCTCAGGACCCTGTGAAATCCTATTGACACATCCTAACAAGGGAAGCTTTCCAAGGAGAAAAAACTGAAATTTTTCCTCAGCTGGAAATTATAATTTGATTAAATAAAGTAGTTTTTCAGAAGGAGTAAAAGAGCAATAAGAAAACTCACCTGCATGTAGAAAGAGGAGCAAACTGTACACCTTTCTCCTTGCATTCCCTTCTTATTCTTTCTTTTACATTTCTACAGAGATCTACAACCCTAGAAAAGAAAATTGAATAGAATATTACACTTTCAAATGAAAACTACACAAATTCTAAGAGGTGCTGGTTTATCTGGTACCCTTCATGTCTGTAAAATCTCTTAACCATAAACTTTCATAGTTACTCTTTAGAGAGTGCACAAAAAGAGCCTTGATCATTCATATTGGGTCCTCCACTCATAACTTTGAAGGTAACAAAGTCCTTTCTTTGTTGCTTTAGACGAAATACAAATCAGAAGAGTAGACTCAAGCCTCATGAATGGAGTTTCCCATACTTAGGAAACCTAACTTCAAAATAAACTTAATTACAAGATTTTACAAGTTACAAAAAATATGCTAATGAAAATTCAATTCTGGGTTATTCGAATACCAATCTTTATCGATGTCTAAGCAGCTTTCCTTAATTCAAAATAATTCAATCAAAAATAATTATGTCCTATCAAACGTGCCACAGACTATTCTCAAGCTAAAATCCAATTTGACAAAGACTTATTGGATATAGACTGTGTAAAGTGCTAATGTGTTATGCTAGACTGTTTGATATTGGGTCAATGAAAATAGGGGATGGGTGGCAATAATCCTTCATAGGAAAATATTTGACAATATTTAACAATGTTCATCTATTTTTAAATTCACCCATATTTAAATGTCAGCTGCAGCATGTCATTGTAACTACATATTTTGTTTTATCTAAACAATAAAACTCCTAAGCCATATATAAACCATTTTATTCCCCTATAAATATCTTGGCCACATACTGGCAGAATCTGTGTTTTAAGCAATGGTTTGTTTAGCACCAAGAGGACAAACTCAGAAGGTTGGCCTAGCTTTCTAATCTTCAAACTGATTCGACTGTGTAGGATCAATAAAAACCATACTTTTAAATGGATTAAGCCTTATAAAGCATATTTAAGTTATCTATATTCTCAGTATCAATAAATATAGGATTAAAATATAAATAAGGCTTTAATATTATCATGCCATATTTTTTATTTTTATGAATGCAGCATATAAAAATTTTATAAATTCTAATTTTACAAAACACTGCTTTTAAGTTAAATTCTGATTTAATTTATGAGAGTTGCAGGTAAATATGATTTACCAATGTTATGTATGCCTCATTCATAGAATGGCAAAAATGAATATTTTTAAAAATATAAAGTATTAAAGATTACTGAAATTTGGTGTTTTTATCTTGAAAATTCACTTATAAAAAGCTTTCAATACAAATAAAACCTATTCAGCTTTAATATCTATAAAGACTAAGGAATACTATAATAATAAAGTTACTAAATAACAAGTTACTAAAATAACAAGTTCTTTATCTTGGCTTTAGAAAACAATGTAAGTGTTACTGCCAAGTATTCTAAAAATATTAATACAATTCTTCTGTTGATTGGACTATGTTTCAGATTAAATACATGTAAATATACTTAATTGTCAAAAATGCAATAGGAAACATGGGCATGTTAAGAATGGCCTATATCTAAACCCTGGTAAGTGAATAATAAAAGAGATGGTAAGAGGGCTGAGGATATAGCTCAGTCACAAGGCCATGGGTTCAATCCCCAGCACCACCAAAATAAATAAATAGAGAGAGAGAGAGAGAGAGAACACGAACACAGGACTAACTGGTTATAATTGCCAAAGGTATGTTTCTATACATGATTTGTGGGAAAGGGGTTCTGAAAGTATTCTCATATAATTTAGATAAGTTCAATACAGTCCACTGGACCAATCTTTTTTTTTTTTTTTGATATAAATGCAACTATGTATATACTTTAAAATTCTTACTTGACCTATCAGCAAATTTTGCACTGTTGATCACTTTCCCCTTGGGGGGGAAAAAAACATCCCTGGGCTTTTCTTCTAAAATCTCTAGAGATTATTCCTCAATCTACTTTGCCAGGTGCTGTTTATAGACTATCTTCTATATGTTGAAAGTCCCTAGGACTTCTTTCATAGGTTCTTTTATTTTTCCCTCTACTCCATTCTGTTTGTATAAAGCAGTTTAAATCACCACACTCCCACTGCTATCTCCAAAATCTTTAAAACCTCCAACTCTTAAAAAACAGCTTTTTAAAATTTATTTATTTGGGTATTGAGGATTAAACCCAGGGGCACTCAACCACTGAGTAAGTGATGCTTACTAATGCTTTTTGTATTTTATTTAGAGACAGGGTGTCACTGAGTTTAGGACCTCACTAAGTTGCTGAGGCTGGCTGTGAACTTTTGATCCTCCTGCCTCAGCCTCTCAAGCCACTGGGATAACAGGCATGTGCAACCATGTCTGGCAAAAACATGACTCCAGAGTTGATTCATAGGACTCTACATGAATACTCATTGAGCACTTAAAAAAAAAAAAAAAAAACTTACCAGGTATAGTCAGTGTGCTAGGGTCACTATGGGACAAGATTAGTTAAGACCAATAACCCTTTAAGTGGCCTTGCATGAAGAGGCCAAAGACCCAATAATGTGTGAAAGTTGAAGGTCCTGGTCCCATGGGCTACTGCTAAATACAGTCACCAGCTAGCTAAAAGTTCAAAAAACAAAGCAAGTTAGTTAGTACATGTGTAATAAGTAAAGTTTACTTCACAAATGCGGTTACTTTTCATTAATGTTATCAGTTAACATTAATGAATTATGAATTTTTCATAATGCTAAAGAGAAACCTCTACACTAACCCATGTGTACCAGTGATAAGGACAGAATGTTTGTGTCCATCTCAAAATTCACATATGGAAATCCTAACCCCCAGTGTGATGACATTAGGAGGTGGGACTTTTGGGGAAGAGGCACAGCTCTCATGAATGGTAGTGGGCACTTATTTATAAGACACGAGAGGGTTCTCACTGCTTTCTGTCATAGAAGGATACGATGAGAAGAGAGCCATCTCTAAGCCATAAAGTCAGCCTTTACCAAAGACTGACAATGCTGGCACCCTAATATCAGACTTCAAGACTCCAGAACTGTGAGAGATAAAAATTTCTTGTTTAAGAACATTTAAGTCACTCAGTCTATGGTATTCTGTATACAGCCCAAACTAAGAAACCCAGCAAGGAGATGTATTAAAAGACTAAAATCATCTTTGAAAACACTATGAAAAGCCTCTAAACTACTTCTGCTGCTCAAGTGTAAAATGTCCATGAGCTGGTAATTCTTTTTATTTACAAAATTTATTCCCCTTATTAAAATTAAATATGAAAACAGAGAGATACTATAAACTGGGTTGATATCTAGTAATCCAAGGAACATGAGCACCAATGTACCAATAGTCACAGTCCTGGGTAAGTGAAGACAACATGATAGGAAAGTTTTCTGAGGGGACAAAAAAGAGCTTAAGGAAAACAAAATGTTATATGATATGTACTATCTAAACAGTAGATTCATAGCAATTTGTTATAGCCTACATTCTTTATTGTAGATTTTAAATAGTGCACAAATTTATAAAGAAAAAGTAAAATGTAGGCATATTAAAAAGAAAAAGTAAAATGTAGGCATATTAAAAAAAAATATATATATATATATATATATAATTCCTGAAGGAATTAATTCACAAGTGCATTTTTAATAAAACTACTTGACATTTCCAAATAAGTTTATATTAATTTACAAACTAATATTTGTGTGAGAGTGTGTGTGTGTGTGTGTGTATTTCTGATAAAGAAATCTATACATTTATTTCCATTTATCGATTTGGGCCTTTTCTTACAATATTATCCCATATTAGAATTTTGCTTATATTTAAAAATAGAAATGTATTTAATTTCTTTTTTCTTATTTAATAAATATATTTTATTTTTTTGGTTTATTTATTTATTTTTATTTATATGTAACAGCAGAATGCCTTACAATTCTTATTACATATATAGAGCTCAATTTTTCATCTCTGGTTATATACATAGTATACTCACACCAATCCATGTTTTCATACATGTACTTTGGATAATAATGATCATCACATTCAACCATCATTAATTACCCCATGCCCCCTCCCTTCCCTTCTCACCCCTCTGTACTATCTGGAGTTCAAAAAATATGGAATGCTTCACGAATTTGCGTGTCATCCTTACGCAGGGGCCATGCTAATCTTCTCTATATTGTTCCAGTTTTAGTGTATGTGCTGCTGAAGCAAGCACTGTACTTCATTTCTTAAACAGGGTTTCTTTCAGAAATCACTTAAATGAAATTAAGATCTTGCTTAATACATACACGCACAAACATCAAAAGCTAAATAATATATTACAATAGATTAACTGGTTTTAAAATTTTGGGGGACTTTTTGGAGAACATATTAGTGACCCAAGAATTTAAATAAAGCTGGGTGCAGTGGTACATGCCTGTAATCTCAGTTACTAAGAAGGATGGGAGGTAAGAGGATTGCAAGTTTGAGACCAGCCTCAGCAACTTAGCAAGGCCCTACGCAACTTAGCAAGACCCTGTGTCAAAATAAAAAATTAAAAAGGGATAGGGATGTAGTTCAATAGTAAAACATACCTGAGTTTAATCCCAGTATTAAAAAAAAAATTAAAATTAAAGCTAAGTTAAACAAAGAGTACCATTTAGTATTTTTTTCTTCTTATTGGCACATTATAATTATATATAACAGTGGGATTTGTTATTATATATTTTTAACATTTAGTTTTTAGTAAGAGTCTTCAAAATGTAAATGTCAATAATACCTTCCTTTTTTGGATTACAGATAAATTTGCCTCAAACCAAAGAAAAAGTGTAATGGCTAGAAGTTCTGGTATTCTGATGAAGATATTAATTTAAATAAAAGTAGCCACCTTGTTTCAAGGCTTCTTTACAAAATTTTGAAAGTTTATATATTCATACACCAAAATAAATTACTTTAGCAACTCACAAAGCATATTTGAATTGAATAATATCCGACATTTTATTATATATTACCTGTCCCAAGGAGCAGAAGTCTCAAAAGATTCTCCTAATACATAGTATTCCAAACCCAAGTCCTGTTAAGACACACAAAAATCACTAAACTACAACAGATGCAATAATCAGTAAGTAATATTGTTATTATTTCATGTAACTGTTAGTATTACATTTCTAATTTAACCTCAAATGCTTTTATTATCTATCCCATAAGAGCTCTGGGAAGGTGCCCTGAATGAACTATGATCTTCTTAAGGACAGGAATCTTGTGTCTTGCTTTCTTCTGTATCCCTGGCAGCAGACAGAGTGCCTAATACAGAATAGGAATTCAAAGATTTCTCCCGTGAATGGAGTGTCTATCCAGGAAAAATCTACGTACATATAGAGAAGACTAATAGAATAGATTTTTACTGTCTTAAATACCAAATTAACCAATATCAAAAATTGGTCATCAAGATGGAAGAAGTAAAGGGACAGAAGTTGAGAGGGAGTGGGATTAAAATAAGCAAGTATTTTCCTTTCTTCAAGTCAACTTTTCTTTAAAAACAAATTCCAAAAATAGTGTCTCTCTCCTTGAGGTTGACAGATTAGTCAAACGTAGGGAAACAGAGGGATTTCTGCTTGGAAAATATTTTCTAGCTTACAAGATGTAATATTTATATTACAAGTAACTTATACCATTTGATTTCTTTACCCAGAGCACAATTGTCATCACAGCTAGAAAGATAGATTCACAAGACCACAGAATGTAAAGATTTGAGGGAAAAAAAAAGTTATAAGGCAGAAAAATCAATACAGGTTATAAATTTGCACTTCCCATAAAAAGAATCACTTTGACTCTACTAGTGGTTGGCAGGGGGGAAAAAACGCAACTACTGATCTAAAATGGTTGTTTTTCTCTTATGAATTCATTTATTCAGTAAACATATATCTGAACATGTAACAATGGCACTGTGCCCTGGGATTTTTTTAAAATATGAAACAAATAAATCTAGGGGGAAAATCCCTAATTTGCTTTTGACTCAGTTTTAACATTAACTGGAAATTTAAATTAAGACATTTACCCCAAATTGTATGTACACTGTACTTGCTACAACTGTATTTCATTTTCTAGAATTCTGAATTCAGTATTATAAGAAAATGATCAATACCCTTTGTTGAAACAACAAACAAAATTTTATCTATACTCAAAATACTTTCTATGAGAAGAACCGTGGATACTGACAATTTATGGATGTACACATAATGCATAAAACCTATTATCATTCATGATCTGTACATTCCTTAATCAGAATTTTTAACACAGTGGACAGGCAATAAATATATTTTTCCCCATTGGCACCACTAGGTGGGGGATAGAAAGGCACAGGACTAACAATATACTTCAAATTCACTGCAATTTTATAATTTAGATCTTAACTAGAATTAAATTCTTTCTAAAATGAGAAAATATTAATTCAAGCGTTCTTAAATAAGTAAAACCAAACTGTATATAAGTTTTTGTATTTCCTTCCAAACAATTTCTAACTGAAAAATTAGAAAACTTAGTAGTAAGGAAGCCAAATTCTCAATAGAGTAGCTGAGAAATGACCTTTTAGAATAAGATCATTCACATTAAATAAGAGGCAATATTTAAAAAACAAAACAAAACAATACTAATCACCCGGGAAACAGCAGAAAACAATTAAGAAACCTGAGTTTGTTAGGAAATAGAAAGAAAAAAAAAAACCACTAAATAAAGGAAGAAATAAATTTCAAAAGAACAATGTCATGTAGCATAGACTTAAATATGACTAATGAAGTTTCTAACATATATCCCATAAAATCTATAATCAGAAAAATTTTAGTGCTCAAGTACACATAAATTATTTATTTCTAAATAGTAATAATCACTAGTGAACCAATAACTACTTGGAATTAAGTTAAATATCAATTTTTAAGAAGACAAAGATTTATATACATAAAAAACAGATTATAAATTAAGCGAGGAGTGCTGCCAAATAAAACAGCTTGATTCTAACAAGGTAATGTTAGGAAAGGCATGTTCAATGTTCAGACAGAGAATGACTCCATTCTTTTAAAAGACAGACATTAAATCATTTTTAAGTTACTCAAAAGCATAATTTGGTTTAAATGGGCTTCTGTAAAACCACAGCTAATGCAGGGTTCATGTACATGATGTGCTTAATTATCATATCTTAAGATGTTTAAGAAACTTAAAACTATGGTTTCATTCAAAGTAGGAAAGATTATTATGTGCAATGTAAATTAAATGACAAGGGAAATATGATGTAACCTACTCGAATGTACGCAATGACATAGGTCAGCAAATATCCTCTCTGTCCATTATCTTCTCCAGCTGCCAATCCACTGTAATTAAAGAACAAACTGTTAATACATTTTAAATGAACCATTAAAAAATATATAAAACTAACCAAACTGATAGGATATCTAAAGAAAACTGCTTTTCCAGATTACATTTCATTTTTATCTTAATTTCATTTATATCAAAGAGATATCAAGAGAATAAGTTTAGACAAAAATCTAAAAATATTTTTTATTTTTCAGTCTAGTCATTAATTTCAAAATTTATCCACCACACTAATAAAGTGATTTATATTACTTTTCATATTCTCAAAAAGAGCAGAGAATTAGTCATGAAAAATACCTTAAATAAGCTTAATTCTCACATGCATAACAAGACACTTAAGTATTTTTATTTTATTAATATAGGCTGAGTATCCCTAATCTGAAAATCTAAAATCCAAACTATTCAGAATTTCCTGACTTTCTATTCTGGATGGATAAACACAAGTTAGTGTCATCTAGAAGGAGTAGCAGACTTGACAGAATAGCTCTAGTCTAGAACTACTTGAGGACGGGCTATAATGAAATGCAGGGGACTGTTTGTATTAATAGGATGTTTATAAACAAGAAAGAAGCATTGCTGAAAGTGAAAAGTAAGAAAACACAGAAAAACAGTTCTGGGTTGGATGTGAGGTTATAGGTAGAGAGCCAAATAAAGTCCTCAAACAAAAGGAACACATGTCAGAACATTGGAGGGACAAGTGCTTGGAGGAAAACAGCTGAACCCATAACTCACGTAGATATGAAACAGTCAAGATTAAAACCAAAGGAGAAAAAACGCTATAGATCTAGAAAATACAAATGGTTCATCTTGGAACTAAAAGTAGAAGGAAAGGAGATAAGAGTGAAGCCTAAAAAAGGGTACAAGATACCTGTGCTAGGAATCTTTGAGAAGGAGCATGCTAAATATTTTATATGGTGAGAAGTAACAGGTGTGAATAAACATTCAGTTGGCCTATCTCTATTAAGTACGGTTGAGAAAAAGTCCTTCTTTCCTCTCCCAGACAAGACATTTCTCTTTAGATTCTCTTCTAACATCTGGTGAAGGTTTCTGTTTCACACTGGGATCCAGTGGGACAAACCACACAGAAACATGCATTGTTTTACCTAAACTAGGAAGAGATTGAAATTGGACATCCATTCTAAATTCATAAACCCCCAAGGAGAAAAAAAGTCAATTTGGGATTCTTTCCAAGTCATGTTTTCTGGCAAATTTAGCTTTTTAGAATTTTTCTTTTTTCTTTTTTTAAGTTTTTAAAACTGTCAATCTTCTAGTCTGAATTATCTTAAGATACAATTGTGTCATACAACATGAACACAATCACTTATGTAACCACTACAAAAAAAAAAAAACTATTTAAATTCAAACTGCTTTATTTTAAAGTAGCAACTTCCATCCCTTATTTCCTGCTCTTTGCAAATTTCAGACATCAATTCATGGTTCTTGAACAAATTTAAAGCTATTTCATGAGGAAGCACTGGGAAGACTAATGAAAGAAGAATGAGACAATCATTTATATAAAAGGGCCATCTGGTAAACCTAATCACTCTCATGTTGAATTATGTTAAACAACTTAAGCACACTTTAAAAATAATGATAATATATTACCTTAAGTTCTATGGTAAATGTCAAAACACCTGTCATAAGTGCTGACAAGTAACATTTATTCTCAGTTCTTAGAAAAGTAAAAGCTCTAGCCAACAAGGATAAACAACCAAGGTATGATGATTATTCAATATTTGGTTACTAGGCTGTGTTGGGTCACATATGTTCAAAGGTATTTAACAGTGTTGGAGTGGAGTGGAAGATAAAGAGACAAAATGGCTAAGATAACATGTATTCTAGATTGTTCAGAGTACTTCATTAAAAGCAATCAACTTTAGCTAATAAGGTAATGGGAATACAGGACAAAAGGAAAAGAAAATAATGGACAGATTAATAAAGCCCTAATTAAAAATTAAATACATGAACTAAGTTAACATATAAAAACTTTAGCAGAAAAAAAGTTGGTGGTGCCTTCCTCTAAGTTGTTATGCAGAAGTGACTGAGGATTCACGATTTGCGGAGTGGCACCTTAAAGAAAAATATCCCTGAGTCTTCAACAATTGGAACCAAAAAAAAATTTTTTAACAGAAAACAAGGGGGCAGTCAGTAACTCTGATAGAAAATCAAAATAAGATATTTCCAAGTTTTAAAAAAAATAAAATAAAGTCATTTTCTTAACCGACAATATGGGTTGCTCAAAAACAAAGATTTTTGCATCTAAATGAAGGAAGCCAGGAAGAAAGTACATTAAGAAATTAATTGTAATGTAACTAAAAAGGAACAAATAATAGCAAAAACACGAGACACCAATTTGAGCCAATGTTTTTAACAGTTTATCTCTGCTTTAAATTAATATCTCATTTACTATAATCTATTTTTAATGGATAAATCTGGTACAAGTGTTATTTGGAGTAAGCAAAATGTTGGAATTAAACCAACAGTTCTGGAGCTTTAGTATCAGTGTCTGGCAAGCTGAACCCTGTATCTGAAAGAAGATTCACTCTTATTTATAAGCTATAAATTGATGGTGTGATGTGAGAAAACAAACCCAGCATTACTGACATGCCTGAAATTGATTACTCAAACAAAACTGATAATATGGTTCTGAAAAACCATCTAAAGATTAAAATACTCTGTCTTACAGGTAATAGGCATAAAAGAATTAGGAAAAAAAAAAAGATATCAGGGAAAAATACAGAGCTTGGCTTCATCAATTCATTCAACAAATGTTTAGTCAATTTCAAGTATGTTCCAAGTATCAAGAGTGAGGCCCAGGAACAGACAAATCATGCCTTATTAAAAAAAAATTAAGTGTAAGACAGAACGGGCACTTTTTATCATCAATGGGCACTTTTTATCATCTAACAGGAAATGTGACACATTACTTACTAGTAAAGATTCGCTAGTTACTCTGAATTTTAATTACAATTATTGATCCTACAAAGTAGATTTCCTGTGTGTGTGTGTTAGGAAGGTAAGAACACTGGGATAAAACTAAGCAAATCCAACCCTATAAACAGTGATCCAAAACATTATTAGAAAATGTCTTCTTCCATTTCCCTACAAGTCCTTCTGAAAAATTTTATAGTCCCAATTAAATACTTAAATATATATAAAAAAATTTAATGTTTCAGTTTCTAATATTAAATACTAGAGCAGAGATAAAATGTTTTCATTAAAATTTACTTATCACCTGTGAGTACCTACTTCCTAAGCAGTAGGTATACAAATAATGCCAAATTCCTTCTGGACAGGGAAACATGCACATTTTAAAAATGCAAACAAAAATGAGATGACCTGAAAGCCAAGCAATTTGATCATTAAATAAATCTTTATAGCATAATTATTTTTAATTAATTTAATTGAAACATCAGTAATTCCAAAAGGTAACATATAAAAACTTAAGCAGAGAAAGTTTGAAAGATTAGTGAACTTTATCTGTTACTAAAGAAAATTAAAATTCTACTTGCCAGTTTCAGAATAGGGGGAAAAAATGTGAGAGCCTAATTTTTAATATTCAAAAATAGTACAACAATAAAACTTAAGTCCAAGGTTATACCCTTTTCCACTCTGACAATACTTCACTTCAACATTGTTCAGAGAATCCTGGAAGTAAAAAGCTAGTTACATATTAAAGTGTGTTTGTGTGTGTGTGTGTGTGTGTGTGTGTGTGTGTGAGAGAGAGAGAGAGAGAGAGACAGAGAGAGAGATACTCTAAAACACACAGCTCCAAATTAAGTGTTCAATTGTTTGCTTAGAAGGAAAAAAAGAATAAAAGTATTAGAAAGAACTCAGACTAAGCATAATGTGTATGCTATATTTTAACACTGAAACAAACAAAAAAAGTAAGACTAGTATCCAGAAAACTGATAATTTATGTACTTAGAAAAGAAAAAATGTAGTCCTGATAAATGGCATTTCCACTATAGTTCTCATTGATCAGTCTGATAATCCATCAAGCAGACAGACAAAAACCACCCTATCATTATTCAGTTGGTTATAGATGTGAAATGTTTTCTGTTTCTTTATACCAGCACAAAACTGTAAATGACAGGGGGTGAAGTATAGACAATTTGTCAAATACCAGGGATTAAACTTAATTTCATTTTAAAAATACACTAATAGCATGTTTTATACATACAATATTTTCACTGAAGAGTAACATGACGATGAATTTTTTCCTACTTTACCACAACAAATATGAAATGGGTATTAGTGCAAACGACCAATAAAAATAATATTTATATACTCCATATATAATTAGATAAGTTAGAGTAATCAATATAACTTCTTACAAATTTTGGAAGTAAATCAAAACAGTATTTTAAATTTACTATAATAAATTACCAGAAATTTAAAATGAAATTTAAATTAATAACTGCCTAGAGATAAGCAGTCTGTTTATAAACATTACAGTTTGGTGCATTAATAACTGGTTGGAGATATTAGAATTCTAGCTTATTATTCTCTTGGCATTAAGAACTTAAAGACATACCCAAATTTTGCAGCAATGTCATATACTTGTTTTTCATGTTGAAGAACCTTCTCACGGTCCCCCTCAAATAGTAATGTGGCTACACTTAGCTGATTTGGATCAAATCCTTTAAACTTAAAAAAAATATATATTTTTATTACAGATGAGTTTAACCTTGCAAAACAGTAAATCAAAATGCATTTGCTCTTTTCCTTCTGGTCTGAGTTCAAATACACCAAGTTCTTAAAAATTGAACTTCGGAACTTTAAATTTCAATCAATAAGAATGCTTAATGCACCTATGCAGGTCATTACAATATAAAACTATACAGCATACAAAAAACATTTTATATGTATTCCATGGTTTTAATCATATAAAACCATGTATGCCATGGTTTAAATAAAATGTCATATTGATATATAAATATAACAAATTATCAGAATTATAATAAAGAACTAAATAAAAACTACAAAATAATAAAGTAGCTAGTTGTAGGGGGGAACACAACAGTATCCTTACATACTAATAAGAACTTCTTATTAAAAAATACTTTCAAAAGAGATCTTAAACATAAAACTAAGAGAAATAATCTTATAAAGAAATATATAACTTCATTAGGAAAACATACCTAAAAAATATAAGATTTATGCTCCTGAATGCATAAACTAAGCATTACAAACCTATATATTACTCCATTCTGAGTTTAGTAAGAACCCCAGTGGACTGTTGAAAATGAAGAGTTTCTAAAATTTTTTCTAGAATAGAAAAGAGGTAGGTGATAGTAACCTAAAGGAAAATTCTGAATAACAAGAGGGAAAATCAGACCTACAACAATTAAACCCATTTAATTTTTCAAGAACAAAAATATCAATTAAAAATATGCATTCAGGGGCTGAGGATGTGGCTCAAGTGGTAGCACGCTCACCTAGCAAGCGTGGGGCACTGGGTTAGATTCTCAGCACCACATAAAAATAAAATAAAGATATTGTGTCCACCTAAAACTAAAAAATAATTTTTAAAAAAATGCATTCAAATGGAGTTTGTTTATTAGATAAATACTATGAGAAGATGTGTTGGTTATGGCTAATCAATGATAGAAGAAGGGATTAATTAGTTATTGGTGCGACTCAACTGGTTACCAACTGGGGGATCAGGAGGTGAAGATTACTTTAGATATTTACTTCACATCATAAAATTGAAATAAATTAAAGTGTAATAAGGAAAAATTTTAAATTCTCATTCAACACAAAAGAGAAAATCAAATGGTCATAATCATAGGTCCAGATGAACGAAGCTTCTAAGCTCAGAAGCAATTAAATAATTACAGAAAAGGCTTAAAAAATTTGAAGTTTTAACACCAAAAAGAAAAATCTCTTTTTAAGTGGGAAGTACTGGACTGAAAACATTTATTTACAAAATTTACAACAAAGGATCTCTAATAATTCCTCAAAGAGAACATAGCAGAGGAAAAAAAGCAATCAATCACTTTGGCAAAATAATCATATTCAACTAACTCAGAGAAAAATTACATCTAGAAAATATAAAGAAATGTTTTGTCTCACTGATTTTGAAGAACATCATCTAAAACAAAGGACTATTCCCCTCCCAATAAATTTAAAACATAAAAAAGCAACAAGAACAAAACCCATATGCAATAATAAGGCCACAACAAAAAAATGACACACATTTTGCTGCCAGTACTATACACTGGTATACATTTTAGGAAAGCAATCCAGCAAAGTTTAAATAAAAATTCATACTCTTAGAAAATGTGCATTAGACTGTTCAATGAACATTATTTTTAGAAACCTCAAAACTAGAAAAAGAAAATTTTTGAAAATGACTACATGACTGACTTAATATTATTCCAATATGAAAAACAATAATTATAAAATGTACACAGCAACTATTATAAGAACAAACATCCTTATAATAGGCGTCTGTGAGAGGAAGAAGGCAGGAAACCAAATTAAAATCCCAAGTATTTAAACATTTAGCATTTTATAAAAATTCTTACCTTTGTAATATAAAACTTTTTTAATCCATCCAAAAATGATGTAAAAATAGAGGAAACCTGAGGTTTAAGTGCATGACCTGAGAAAAAAGTTTCTATATTAAATTAATAGCAAATGATATTTTCAGAAGATTAAAAGACTACTTAGTAGCCTAAAAGTGATGACTTTAACTTTTAAATCTATATTATGTATATTTATATTAAGATCTTCATCTTTTCTTTTCCCTTCTTTCAAAAATCACAACTTTTTATTTAAAAACCCCATTCTGTTTGTTAAATTCAAATTACCACATGTAATTAATACTACGCATAGTTTAGGTCATCTTTCAATGATGTATTTTATACATACTAAAACTAGTTCATTAATTTTTATTTTATTAAGAACTCCCAATGGTGGCTGGTTTCACTTTTATTTTCCTAATTATACAGAAACCATTCAGAAGTATAACCAAATATGGAGTCAATGCAAAGTTTAAGGTTGTTTCTTAATTAATTCTTAACTCATCGCGAATTCTTGGCATAAAACTAGCAATTGCTTTCTTAATCACACCCAGAGAGTTAAAATTGCCAAAATAACATAAATGGTGTCTCAGAGTCTGTTAAATTAACATCTTTGCCTGCGGATTAAGCTTAATTGAGTGAAAACCTTTTACTGTTTCCCCATTGTTTTCAAAGAGTAGCAACTTCAACTTCCATGACTACTACATTTAAGAGTCATGCATCTGGCTTTAATGTTATGAGCCCAATTCAGAAAAATATGGCAACCATTTATATAAAAATTTTATAAAGAATTTAAAAGTCTTTACTAAATCTAAAATTATATCAAAAAAAGATTAATTTTTTTAAAGCCTTTCCAGTTTGAGGGATTTTGTTTGTTTTTAAAGAGCAGGACTTCCCTCTAAAATAAGTACAAAAGCAAACATTTCTAAAACAACTATCATTGATAAGTCTATTTTTCTGACCCACCTATTTTTTTAATTGAAATAATGAATCTGTGATACTACAGTTTTGCTGTCTCTAATAGGAAACTGTTAAAAGGACATGTAACATAAGTCTTAACCAGGAGCTAATAGAAATTCATGCTCTGAGGCATTAAAACAAACCCCCTGCCGCCCCTGACACTCCAAAAGAACTGCAGATTAGATGGAGATCCACCTGGCAATCCTTTTGAGCTACTGGATCAAAAGTAGTTATTTTTTTCTTTTTTTATTGTGAATTATCAGAGATACTTTTCCAGAATAACCAGTGCTTTTCGATATAATTTTTAGCATGATTTAAGTTAAAAATAATGTATCAACAAAACATTTTCTGTACCAAATGGAAGTCATCCTATCTAAATAACAATTGGAAATAAACATGTAAACATATGTTGAGTATGTGTGTTGTGTTTTTGCAAAATGGAAATTGCTATTCATATAAAAGTTTTCTCATTCATTTATCTTTACACAATGCATAAGGGATCCAAATGTTAGTACTCCAATATGAAATAATCCTTACGGGTAAATAATCCACTGACATTATTAGTATAATTTCCATTACATCGGTAGCAATTAGTCACACACATCTCCAATACTAAGTTGACATGATAGTTTTAAAGAATAAATTATTGCAAAAGAGACACTGACTTTTGAGTCAAGCATTAGTATTACTTGGAAGATATTGTTATCTTTTACTTTTTCTTAAATTAATGCTACCTATGAGATTAATTATACTCTAAATATATTTCAGCTAGTGTTTTATCTTTTATAGTAATTTGGTTTCCAAACAGCTTGACAGTGCATTTTTTGTTCCTACAATTTGAATTAATTAAAAAGGATATATTAACTATGTATGTTTCAAAGAAGTGGTTTGAAACAGTGTAAAAAGTATTGGGATTTGGATTCAAACTAAATGAGTTCAATCTCAGCTCTACCAAACAGGACTTGCAGACTTTGGTTAAAATACTGAGCCTTGAATTGTTTGTAAAATGGGAATACCACCTGGAAGAACAGTTGTGAGGAGGGATTTCATAAACTATACTAAGATAATGTGCTTAGCAATGTGCTAAGAGCTATCTAGGATATGCTTACCTTCTTTACCAATGCAATGATTAATGCTTAAATAAAAACTAAATGCCTGTTATGGCTAGGAACGATAGTGCACACCTGGAATCCTAGCTACTTGAGAGGCTGAGGCAGGAGGGTTGCAAGTTTGAGGCCAGTCTAGGCAAATAATTAAGATCCTGTCTCAAAAATAAAAATAAAAAATAAAGGGATATGGATGTAGCTCAGTGGTAGAGCACTTGCCCTGCATGTGCAAGAAAGACCCTGGATTGATCCACAGAACCACAAAAACACAAAATTTAAAAATGCCTACAATGTGATAAATGCAAGAAATTTTAAAAATTACTAAAACACATCCTCTAAAATTTGAGAAACCTTGATCTACAGAGGAAATCCATAGATCATTTCAATATACTGAAAACAGATAATCTAATATAATGTAATAGGGGTTTTACTACAAGAAGTGGTGATATTAAAAATATTCACCATTTGTGAATAAGGCTTATGCTTTATTAATCAGTATGATACAAACACTAAAAATAAGCAGCCATATATGGCTATTGTAGGGTCTGAATTGCTGTGCTAAGCATTACTCTTTTAGTTGTTTATCACAAGGTCATGACAATATATATAGAAGGAAAGACTTCAAAACAAACTGAAGAATCAAAAGGACTACAGCCAACCAAGAAGCATAACCAGATCTGTAATTCAAAATAAATACTATGGTGGCTAAATAAAAAGCAGAAGGGAGACATGGTCAGTACTAGAAAGAATTAAGTCCTACCATAGAGCTAGAAGGGACTATGTGAGCATGTTTCTAGGTATATAATGAGAATGTGGAACACAGATGGCAGACAGCCAGAAAGACCTTTTCCTTAAACTCTCATTTTAAATTGCTACAAAACCCAATTATAAAAAAAAAAAAAAACATGGTCAGAATTATAGTTTCAAAAGATGCCTATGTCTAACATAATGTACTACAACATCATCACATAAATAGTTAATGATTTTATTAATTATATACATGGCTGTATAGATCTCCAAAAGCAAGCCAAACATACTAGAGCCTTGATTTTCATTTGACTTAAATATCTCATTATTTATAGGACACAATTATCAACTTTTGTTTCTTAATACTATAGTATGTTGAAAGTAATTTATTAAAGAAGTAATTGTGAATAAAAAGAATCTAATTTAAAAATGAATTCTTGATATAAACCTGACTTTCCCAGTTAATTTTCTACATAACTATAATAGTTTTCCCTATATTAAAACCTAAGCAACTTTCAGACATGACAAACAAAAGCCTGCCTTTCAGGGCTGGGGGAATAATTCAGTGGTTCAGTTCTTTCCTAGCATGTGCAAAGCCCTGGGTTCAATCCCTAAACTACAAAAAAAGTAAAATAAAACAAAACAACAGCAACAACAACAATAAAATCTGCCTACCTTAGCCTTTGGTATTTATTACTGAACAATAATTTCCATAATGTTAGGAACTGATTTTTTTTTTTTTTTTTGTACTAGGGATTGAACTCAGGGGCACTCAACCACTGAGCCACATTCCCAGCCCTTTTTCATATTTTATTTAGAGACAGGGTCTCACTGAGTTGCTTAGGGCCTTGCTAAGTTGCTGAGGCCAGCTTTGAACTTACAATCCTCTTGCCTCTGTCTTCCGAGCTGCTGGGATTACATCACCACCATGCCCGGATCAGGAACTCTTTTGATGGCATTTAAATTCTACAAACTCAAATCCCAAAGTAAATTTCAGCACGTGAAAAAAATATGGAAGCAATAAAACTAGAATTGAAAACATGATTAATAAATTGTATCAAAAGTTCAATAATTTAGACAAATAGGTAGAAAAGAAAAATGTTTTTGGATCCAAATACCTATTGAATTCTTCACCCCAAGAGCCCAATGGCACCTTAGATACAATCCATTGTAATATATTTTTCCCCCAAATCGACCATTTTTACTTCAACTCTTCCCTTTATTTAGCCTTCCACATCTAATTGGCTAGCTGATTTTTAAAAATCTATCCTCTACTCTATTTCCATTATTTCTACCTTACTCATGGGTCCCAAAATTTGCCTCTTGAGCTGTTTCATGTCTGTACCCTTCTAATCCACCCTGAGCAAAACTGCCAGAATGAGCTTTTGAAATGTAAAGATGATTTTATTCCCTCCACAAAGAAATCCCACAGCTTACAAGATAAAATACAAATCTATTCTGCAAAGCCCTAAATAACCCATGTAGCTTTATTTCATATGACAAGCCTTGTCCTACCCTCTATTTGAGGTAAACAAAATGATTCCCAGTATCCTAAAACATGTCACTGAGGTTTCATAACTTGGGGGGGGGGGGGGGGGGGGGGGGGCAGCCCTGGGTATTGAACCCAAGGCTTTGTGCATACTAAGAAAGTACTGTAACCCTGAACTATATCCCCAGCTTCTTTTTTTAATTATTGTTGTATTTTGAGATAGGGACTCAACAAGTTGCTCAGAATGCCCTCAAACTTTTGATACTCCTGCCTAAGTCTCTTGAAAAAAATTTGTATTTCTGTTTACAAGTGAATGAGTGTGGTAAGGAAGAAATAATCTCGAGCAAACTTCTATTTACCTTTTAAGACTTTGCTCAAGTATCACCCTCCTTTAAAAGTCTTTTCTGACTTTCAACCCCTGAGGTTGAACAAAATCAAATAGAATCAACTGTTCCTTCACTTATCTATACAGGATCCAATGCAGTCTTCTTTCATAGTCTCTCCAATACTACTGAACTCATTCATTTATGTTACTGTCTGAGAGAGCTTCCTGAATGGCAGGAACTATGACATTTATCTTTCTAGTGCTGAAAATTTTGAGAATAAATGAGCGTATGTTAAAATTATCACTCTTTACTTACCAAACTGAAACTGCTGGTTGTCCATGAGGCGAATAGACGCAGGAGCACATCTCTGTTTAACAAGAGAAGAATGTGATATAAGTTTAATACAATAAAAAGCTGGATGAGTAGAATATGAATATTTTTTCTATATTTAAGAGATTAAGAGCTTACTTCCTAAAAATATACAGAAGAAAAGAATTTTTATACAATTCTATGAAGATAAATAAAACATCAGTGGCTTTAAATTATCTGGAGAGATCTACATGCAAAATAGATTAATAGATACTACTATATCTTTAATTTCTGCAATAAGATGTGCTTATGTCTAGCAAAGACCTATGGAAATGCCATAAAAGAAAACTGGGCTTCAAGGTGAACCGACTTCAAGATGGATTATTTTAGAACAAAGTAGAAATTTTTAATACTAAATACAGTTAACTCAATAATTATGTGTTTATGAACTAGTTATGTTAGGTTCTTGTAACACTTTTAAAATGAGGAACATGGAAAATTTTCAGGAGACAAAAGCACTAAAATGTTGCCTGTGTCACAATTCTAGGAACTGAAATTCTTTCTTTTAATCCCTTCTCATAACCCATTTTAAATAGAACAACCATCCAGTTTCCTGATTTGCAAGTCCTGTCAAGGTTACTTGTATGAAAACAGTGATGAAATTCTGAAGGATAAGATAATGTATCCGAAGAATAAAAACTGCACTAGTGTTGTAGTTATTTAGGCACATACTACAAGTAGCAAGTAAAGAAAACCAAGGAAAGCAGATACAGGTTAAGTAAACATTCCTAACCCAAAAATCTGAACTCCAAATTACTCCAAAATTCCTAACTTTCTGAGTTCCAACTTCCCAGACTTGGAGGCATTTGGATTTCTGGATTAGAATATTCAACTGGTAATGTCTATGCAAATATTCCAAAGTCTGAAAATCTCCAAAATCTTAAACATCTCTGATCCCAAGCATTTTGGATGAGGAATATCACCAACCTATATTTATATTTATTTGGTGATGATAAAACATCACAATACTAACACTAGCAAGGTTCGCATTAGGTGTAATTTCTCCATATTCATGTGAGCTGAACCTTAAATGGAATTTTTTATTTTCTATACAAATTTTCAACATGGCTAATGTTTTAGGGGCTGCAGTTGTAACTCAGTGGTACAGCGCCTGCCTAGTATGTATGTGTGAGGCACTGGATTCCATCCTCAACACCACATTAAAAACAATAAAGGAATTATGTCTATCTACAACTAAAAGGGGAGGTGTTTTTATACCATAAGTCTGACAAATGCTATATATTTTTAAGCATTTATCTTCTGAATAATATTTATCAAAACAATTTCTGGCAACATAAATTTCTGAAACTCAGAAGAAACAATACACAATAGTAACATACAATACACATTTTATTTTACCCAATAAAATGACTAAATGTTTCTTATTTTGAGAGATTCAATTTATTTACTCAGTTTTCATACTAAAAATGAGGTAAGTAAAGTTATTTTTTTAAAGTTACTACCAAGTCTAGAGAAACAGTTTAGATAATTTTATATACACATCATAACAATAACCCACCAGCTTATATTATTAAGAATCACAGTTTCCAAGCTACTGTCATGTGTTTATTTTATATAAGAAACAACACTATCAAGATAGCAGAACTGATATTACCCCCATTTTACAGAAAATAACACCAGAATCAGTGAGGGCAAAATATTTGCCCAAGGTCAGATGACTGTTAAATAATAAAGACAGAAGTAAGACCAAGATATATTGGGTCCTAGATGAACATTATTTCAAGTATATCACACATCCTCCAAAAAAATCACTTTTTAAAACACATTCATACAAAGCTTCTGATTCATATTTTAAACAATAGCTACATTAAAATTAATTTGCTATTTTCTGAATTTATTAAGAGTATAATAATTTTTAAAATACATTTGCAACCTGAGTAATTTCAAATCTTGGATTAAAGATATCTTTGTAGTTTGGCTTATGCTTCTAAAAATGCTACCAGTTTCCAAAATACTAAAAGAAAATCCATTTTCTTCATATTTACAAATCTGAAATGTTTTTAATAAAATTGACTTCTAATAAAACATATGAAGCATGATTAGACCAAATTTCTGTTCTCCATAAAATCAACAGAATATCCATATAACATACATATTTATATGATGTCTTATATATCTAATAAAATATAAAAGAATTCAGAGCCATTTTTCATTTTTAGAATAAAAACATTTTAAACTCCTATCAAGAACTTGTAAATTCCATATCCTACTTGCAACCAGATTCTACTTCACCTGTATCAATATCAGGTGTTCTTAATGAAAACAACCAACATAAATACATCTGTATCAGAAAATGGGAAGAAAATATACTACATTACATAAATTTCTATTGGTACTAAATCTGTAAAGCAATTGAAGTACAATATGCAGATTCTGATTAAATATTAGTTTGCAAATACTCTCTATAAAATATATTTGAGGGACAAGTGGAATAATTTGAATAGAGAATTGTAATTAGCTGGCATTAGAAAATTACTGCATAGTTTCTTAGATATGATAATGATACTATTCTGTTTCAGGAGATAGATGCTGAAGTGTTTAGAGGTCAAGGGTCATGATGTCTGTCACTTAATTTCCAATGGTCTAGACAACATTGTATATATATATACACATACACAAAGAAAAATACTGTAAAAAACTAATAATTGCTGGATATACAAGATGGATATACAGGTGATTGCTGTGCTATTCTTTTAAATGTTTTATATGTTTTAAGTTTCCAAATTAAAGAACTGGAAAGAGAGCTAATAAAGTTTCAGGGCACTTGCTATACACACAGCTACCAATATTCAGTTAAACTGACTGTGATTTTAACTATGATTTTTGACAAGTGAGTCACATAAACTAGTTAGTACACTATTCCCATTTACATTGAGGAAGTATAGTATATGAGAACAGACTATTTTAAAAGAATAAGCAGGCAGCTAAAAAAAATTGTATTCTAAATAACATTTACTTTTCTGAAATTATCAAATGCAAAGCAAGAGCTTTAAAGTTTCATATTGTAATCATGCCAGGGTTTTCAAAGGTTGCTAAGTAGAGTTTTCAGTTACTGTCATATTCTGATAAGTAAAACACTCAGAAATTTAAAAAAAAATCTAAATTAGTTTGTGATTCTCTGGCAACTAATAATTTGTAAATCATTGTGTCATTCTACATATACAAAAAGCTTATTTACAATTTGAAATAATTAAAGTCATTGCAACTAATTAAATAGAAGTTTCTATAATCAAAAGATTAAAATAATGTTACTATTCTTAAAAAACAACATTATTCAATCTGATATACTCTATGGTTAAGATTCGATTATGTCACCATTGCTTTAAAACTAACTAGGGAGGTTAAAAGCACTCAAAAGATTGCCTTTAGAAGTAGAGACAGCACAAATGCTAATAACTGAAAACCTAAATTCATTACTACACTATTGCAATATGCTGGACTAAGAATACTGTATTCTACAGATAAGAAAAGGGGGATAAAAGGCCCTTCAGTAAAAGTGACCTCTTCTGGTAGGTGATCAGAACTAATCTGAGAGGGAATCTTTTAACTAACTTTAATAAGTTAATAAAAAAAATTCAAAGAATTTAACAATTCTCCAAAAAAAATTGCTCACTCAAATGGGAGTTAATGGAATAGATTATATGCACTTACTAGGATCTCTCATGTATCCTGACTGGTACCTGAGTATACTTCATAGTTAGTAAACACTCTAAAAAACTATATAAAAAAAACTATTATTAACTGATGAAAGTATATCTGTATCTTTATTTCACTTGGACATTGAAGAAATAAATAATCACTCTGACCTTAAAATATGGATATAAGTTGAACTAAGTCAAGTGCTGGTAATTTCTTCCCAGGATGCTACAACCAGGAATTTACTTGAGTATATAACCTAATAAATACAAAATAATCATTCTGTTGAATCTTATTTTACTAAGTATTGGTAGTATTTTCTGCACTAACTCAAGAACCAACAGATTTCTTATCCAACTATTTTATTTAAAAAAAAAAAAAAGTCCCTATACAAAACACACCAAAAGCTGTCTGTAAAATTTATTTTTCTGGCACTAAGTCATGCTTTCATTTGTCATAGAGAAAATCAGAATTTGCATTTCAGATAATATACATATATCATTTGGGAAGATGTCTCTTAATTATCTAGCTATTGGCAAAAGAAATTCAATGCTAACATACATTTCAAATGTCTGCAGCATATCTACTACTCTAACTTCTTACAGATAAACTATAAAAAGATTAGCACTGAATGGTCCAGTATCTGGAACCACAGCTAAGGAATGAGTCATCGTTGAACTAATAAGGTTTATTTCTTCAAAACATAAATCAAACTTTCTGTCTAGAACAGCCCAAATTCCTCAGTCTAAACACTATATCAGAGATAGTGAATTTATCTCATTATTGCACCAGAAGCAAATACTTCAATACTAAACCCCATGTGCAACACCATACAAAAATTTAAAAGGAGAATTTATCATGATATGCAATATTCTTAGTGATTACCAGGAGAGGAATCCCATCCACTTAACTTGCATACTATCCACTGCACTAGGTGTGCGTTGCACTAAGAACACAGCACTTCAAAAGGCAATGATAAAATTGATAAAAATAAGTTTAAAAAAAAAGGCTGAAAGAAATCTATTGAATAAAAAATATCTAGAAATAAAAACTTTAAATGTAGACAGATTCTTCCTCTAACTTTTAAGTCAGAGTTGATATTATAGATGAAATCATATAATATTTACGACTATTACAATTACTGGCTGGTCATATTGGAAATGACATACTAGCTTACAGCTAAGAGTCTTACTGTAAACAAGAAGAACTGTATATTTTAAAGACAATTATCTCTTAGTTTTTAAAAATGAAATAATATACATTATTGTGTGAATATTTCCTTCCACTTATATTAAGGGAAAGGCCAAAAGTTGGTGTCAGTTTCCTAATTATAATTTTTAT